ATCCATGGGTTTCCTTGTGTTCCACAGTTCAGCTTACAACTCAACCTGTGTTCAAAGACTACCCCACCCTTCCAAGTGTCCTAAGACTGACCACCCTCTCAGTGTCATTTCTGAAGAGTATAACCTTGAAACCAAAACAGAACTAGGCTGAAATCCCAGAGTCTCCACTATCAGCTAGATTGCTTTTGAGTAAGCGATATACCACAGTGTAAATGTATGGACTCGATATAAGGTTGAATCTTGGCTCCTAGCTCTGTGACCTTAAGCAAATACCTCAGTTGCTCTATCTTAACTACAAAATGGAGAGCACAAGGTAACTTACCTCATGTTAAGAAAATTAAGTTAATAATCTTGTGCTCTATTGTTTGCCTCTCTGGGACTTGGCTTCATAATCTGTGAAAGGATGACATCTACCTTGAAGGATGGTGATGAGTATTACACATAACATATAAAGTACCTAGCACAGTGTATTTTACAAGCAAAATGCAACAACTCTTAGTTTCCTTTTCTGTCTTTCAATTTATCAGATTTCATCATTCAGCTAAGAAGAAGAAAATTGCTGAAACAAATTAATGTGTCTTTTAACTCTCACACGGTTATGTGTATTAGAAAAAGAGACTGTTTTTACAAAGTCAAGGCAGAGAATTCAGTTTATAATAATTGAAAGAGTCTACTCTATAAGGACGAAGGGAGTTTCTGTAGAAGGTAGAAAATAGAAAGCAACATCATCATTGCTATACAGTGATAGGAGAATCCAACCACCAAGAACTCTGATTTTGTACCCAGGATGGCAGAACTCTTAGGATTTATGATTTCAGTCAAATACCCAAGTATAGAGAAATAAAAGAGGTATGCCACAGATCAAGAGTGACTTTTTATAGACTAGAAATGATGGCTGGTCACCTGTTTCTTCTTAGGCATCTGAACATTGTTGGTTATCTGCCATGGAGATAGTTTGACCACTATGACTTTTTTTCTCAGTCTTCTTTCCAGGCTTTCTGTTTTCATTCACCCCAGGAACACTCTCTCTGGATTTTGATCTTAGTCTTTAAGGGCCCCAACTATCATATAGACGCATCCCATTCTCTGACTCCAACTTTGACTTTTGTTCTATGCTCCAGATTCACACACATGTGCCACTACCTACTGGCCACTACCCAGATGTCTCACAGACACCTCTAACTCAATATGACATTATCTAAATCTTTCACTTGCTCCCCAAACCTGCTGCTCCTCTGCTATTTCATACCTTGGTTAATATCACTGACATCCTTCCAACCAGGAAAAAAATAGAAATCTGGGAATCATTGAAAATACAGAGATAAGTATGGCATAATTTTGCCCTCAAGAAATAGTCAGTTTCATAAAGTCAATGCATGTAAATTTCTCCCTGTTTTTAACACAAACAATAAATTCTCTTTGGAACTTGTAATTCTGCTTTTCAATAAGAATGTAAATTATTCTTATTTATAAACTTCTCAATTAAATTGTGAGATTCTTTGGTAAGAAAATAAGATTAAGTTTTTCAGACTATTGAGTATTCAAAATATAAAAAAGTTAATAGAACTAGAGATAAGAGACCTTGATAACTAGATGAACACATTTAAAAAAATTGAAGATATACTTATTGATGTAAAGTCTTTATATATAAAAGCCTGAATGACCGAATGACCAGTTGACCGGTTGCTATGACATGCACTGACCACCAGGGGGCAGATGCTCAATGCAGGAGCTACCCCCTGGTGTTCAGTGCACTCCCACAGCCAACCTCCTGCAGCTGGCCAACCTCTCCTGGCCTCTGACCAACCTCCCGTGGTCCCTCCCCTCAGCTGACCAACCTTCCGAGGTCCCTACCCCCAGCTGGCTGGCCTCCCCCATTGACCCCTTGGGGGGTGGTGTGGCTGGCCAACCTCCAACATTCCTCCTCCCAGCTGGCCAGCCAACCTCCCTCGGCCCCTTCTCCCAGCTGGCTGGCTCCGTCCCATCGGCCCCAATCACTGGCCAGGCTGAGGGACCCCACCTATGCACGAATTCATGCCCTGGACCTCTAGGTGTTAATACTACTCTTTAAATTATTTTTACAATGAAAAATGACAATCATAGAAAAAATACACAATGATCCCCTGGATCCAAACCTAGTCTCAAAAGTAGCAATTTAGACTATGTCTTATTTCATCTATACCCACTCACTGCAGCCTAAGATATTTTAAAGCAAATCACAGATATTGCATAATTTCATTTGTAAGTATTTCTATGTATCTCTAAATGACAAGACTCCTTCTGCAAGCATAACTATAGTGCTGTTATCACAGTTTAAAACAGTAATAATAATTCATTGATATCATTAATATTCTGTTCAGATTGTCCTGATTTTCTCATAACTTGTTTTATAGTTTATTTGAACAAAGCATGATCTAAGATTCTTACACTGCAATTGATCTTAAATCTCTCTTGCTCATTTTCTTTGTTTCCTTCTTTCTCTCCTTCTCTTTTTCTTAGCTGTTTTATTATAAAATACAATACACAAAAACTTGAAATTTATGAGTTAATGAATAATTATAAAGCAAACACCACTCAGGTTCAGGAGTAGAATGTTGCCAGTTACTTTCCAAATGTCCTATGTCAATCCCAGCTCTTTTTCAACCTGCTGAAGTAGCCACTACCTATATATTTTTATAGTAAAATCACTTCCTTGTTTTCTTTTTTAATTGTATCATCTATAGTACATCCTTAGACACTGTAGTCACATCCATTTTCAAATTTGTCTCATATGTTTATTTTTAATCAATATGTTCCCACAATATGCTTTTGTTTTTTCTTGAAGAATTTCTGTTGAATAACCCAAGGCCTTTGGCATATAGTTTTCCACAGTCCGGATTTTGCTGACTACAAACTCGTGGTACAGATCAATATATTATTCTGTTCTCTATATTTCCAGCAAAATGGCAGCAGTATCCAAAATCCACTTGGCACAATTATAGTTAATACTGTTCTTTCATCAGAGGAATATGCCTGGTTGTTACCTCTCTTGTGATGATAGCTGTCATTGATGCTTAATGCTTAGATTTAGTGTCATTGTGGTTTCAAACTGATTATATAATTTTATAAAAACATACTTCTATGCACCATTTCATAGCTAAATGTACATTTCTTATGGGAAAGGCAGAATAAATTCTTGACTTTTCCCCTTTATTTACTAGTCTACTTTATATGATTTTGGTATATACATTTTATCCTTCTTATTTTTATTCAGCATTTAAGTTTGATTTAATATTTTTTCTCCCACTCTCTGTTAATCTGAAGGCATTATCTAGTGTATTAATTTGGTGTTATGTTCCTCTTAGTTTAGCTTCATTTCTAAAATGACTTTCTTCTAAGCTGTTACTGAGTTTTATAACTTCTGGACTTTTATAATTCAAATTTATTTGTTATTCTTCTCATCTTGGAGCATTTTTTAATTTTTTGGCTCATTTTTTAAATAGTGGGTTACAATATATCCTTCTGGTATGCTTTTTTTTTTTTTGCAGAATGTTATTCTGCTTCTTATTCTCCTCTTTCTTATAATTTTGAATGGGAACTTTACCTTATTATTCATTTTCATGGGAAACTAGTTTGTCTGTTTTTCCTGAGTTTTACAATCTGGCAGGATTTTCTAACTTCAGAGAGATTCCTCTTCAAAAGTATGGTTTTGAGATTTCCTGACTATTCTGCTGCTCCCATTCTTCTCTTCTCTTCCTCTCTACAGGATAGGCAAAAGTAGGTGTACAATTGTTTATATGAAAAATAATACAATATTTAAGAAATAAGAATACAAGAATAAACTCTGTGTTTCCCATACTCACAACTGTACACTTACTTTTGCCCATGCATTATCCTGATGTTGTCTACTTATGATTCCACTTCCAGCCATTTCTCCTCACTGTGAGTAGTTGTTTTGCAGAGTTCCAAGGCACCAAAACAATTCCAAACCCTTCAGAATTTCCTACTATAGGCATCTTGGGCCCACCCTTCCCAATTTCAGCTGATGTTCCTAAGGTGGCTCATCATGCTTTCCAGTGAGTATCCATGGGCTTTTGACCCCTCAAGTCTGCCCCATCCCACACTACTTCCACCTACTCCTTTTCCCTATAGACACTAATTTTACATAAGCTTGTGGCTTGACTCACTTGTTTTATTGAAAGTGATTCTTATGGATAACTTAATATTGAGTTTTGTTTTAAATGTTGTTCAGGAGTTTGGCTTTGGCTTATGTGGATATTTGAAGAGGTTAAAAAATTAGGCAGCTAGCTCAGCTGGCATGGCTCAGTGACTGAGCATCAACCTATGAACCAGGAGTGCACGGTTCAATTCCCGGTCAGGGCACATGCCCATGCTGCAGGCTTAAACTCTAGTAGGGGTGTGCAGGAGGCAGTGGATCAGTGATTTCCTCTCATCACTGATGTTTCTATCTCTCTCCCTCTCCCATCCTCTCTGAAATCAATAAAAATGTATTTTTTAGAAAACAACAACTATGGAGCTGTTGTCACACATGCCACCTTCTAACACTATCATTTTTTATTAAACACTTCCCAAATCCCTGAGATGTGAAAGAGACCACAGGTGGACTGTGTCTATAAATGAGGGCAAACATGAAATACATATAAGTAACAAAATACTGACTAGTTTAGGAGTTGAAATTCACCAGATGAATTAGCAGCTCCCAACCTCGCTGAGCAGAGTGGAAGTTGGCAACATTTCTCAAATTGTATTTCAGAGGAAGTTAATGGGACCAAGGTAGTTATAGTAGTCCAGTGAACATAATTTAAGGAATGCTGGGTTGAGGCAACGTGTCCTCCAGAACTTCCTTTAAAATGTCATAAAGTGAGGAAGCAGTTAAAAAATTGAATAAAGTCACTAAAGAATATATTGAAAATCTGATTAGAAAATTTTCAGTTTCCACATTAACTCAACAAATAATTGTTGCCATTTAGAGAGGGTAAAGTGCCCTCCAGTTTGCTTACCATATACCAAGTGATGGCTGGTTTGACACTGGAAGGAAAGTATCCATCTATATTTGGACAAGTGATCTTCTGAACACCATATTCTATATACAGTTTATGCACTGGGATTTTCATGGGAGAATTGAAGCAGCTAGCTTTTTGGACAACTTCCAGAGGAAATGCAACTTTGCTGCAATATGTGGTATTCCTGAAAAGAGAAATATGCAATAAATGGGCAGACTCATTTGCATTTGTTTTAATGCAGTAAATACATTAAAGTAAGCTAAGTGAACTAATGCTATGCATTGAGACTTTATATGTGCAAGTTCATGTAAGAATTAAATATGTGTGGAAGTATTTCTATATAAATTGACATCATAGAACAAACACAGACATAGTTAATTACTATTGATATATTAAAATAGTTATATTTTTAGATATGTTTCTAAACATGTTATGTGTTTGTATGTACATATATGTATGTATGTATATGTATATTTAATTTTACCCTTAAAAGATTATTAATAATATTCTGTGCTGGTAAGGCAAAGGTGAGTATACCATTAACTCATGGCTGATAATCATATAAACAACCTTTAGAAAATAAATATGGTTCTAAAACTATTCTTAAAAAAACCTTAGTTTTTGCCCTAGTAATGTTATTTCTGGAACATTTTTCACATGGTAGAATTATGGAAAATGGTTATAGAGAGAGCACATGATCAAAAATGTCCATCCAGTGCTATATCAGCAAAGAAAACATTGGTATAAATAGAAAAATCTTTTTTTGAAAAGTGCAATGAAATTATGGTGCAACCATTCAAAGTTCTTTTACAAATCTATAAAAAAGTCAAGCATGAAGAAAAAAGTAACAAACACATAAAGCTTAGGACTCTTGTTATCCCATCACCTCACTTTTCACAAAGAGGTATTATATGTGACCCTCTATGCACCGCAAATTAGATCTCTAATTCTCTGAGCACGTTGGGCATTTCCTTGTGTTCATTTGCTATTAAGTTCCTCTTAGTTTATCATAGTTCAAACAAGGGTACGACCATGAATATTTTCTTATAGTCTCTAGTACAGTGTCTAAACTTTCAGTAGATGCTGAATAAATATTTATTAAAATGAATGAGACAGAGCCCTAGCCATTTTGGCTCAATGGATAGAGCATCAGTCTATGGACTGAAGGGTCCCAGGTTCCATTCAGGTCAAGAGCCCAAGTTGTAGGCTCTATCCCCAGTAGGGGGAGTGCAGGAGGCAGCTGATCAATGATTCTCTCTCATCATTGATGTTTCTATCTCTCCCTCCCTTCCTCTCTGAAATCAATAAAACATATATTTTTAAAAATTAATGAGATAGATATAAAACTTGTGTGTGTATACAGGAAAGCAATAATGAAGTATTAATAATAAAAATAACTGATTTTTTTAAGGTGATGACTAAATGGGCCCACACTTTTAATAATTTCTATTTAAGGTTTCAAACACATATTAGATCCTCAATGACTCATGAATTAAGTCTAAATACAATGGAAGGTTTGGAGGTATTCATTCCCCTCACCAACATGAAAGGAGATATTGTTTAAAGATAACTTGTAACAAAGGTAATGCAGTGGAAAGGGAGAGTGGCAGGCATGATCTCTATCAAAAAATAACAAAATGTCTACCAGAAAAAAAGTATTCTATGGGTGAAAGTTATAAAAGGTAAATTTTAGTTTAATTAGATACATTTTCTGATTTTTTAAAAAAGGTGATGAACAGTGATTGACCTGACTTTTATAGCTCCAAAAGTCAAATCTGGATGTCATCTTAATAAGGTATTAAATAAAGAATAGGAGACAGAAGATGGCGGCCGACGGGACGCAGGCTGCAAGATAGTGTGTGAGTGAGTGAAAGGAGAGCACGTGGACATGCAGGGAGTGTCTGTAATTTTGAGTGAAGGACATCTATATTCCACAGGACTTTTGGAGACTGGCTGGCTTCCCCTGGCCAGGCAGCCTCTACTACTGCTGAAATCTCTCTTGGAGTGGCTGGGTCTGCTGCAGAGACTGAACCATTTTGAAGGGGAGAGCGACTGTTATCAGAAGCCCACCATTACCTTCAACTGGGGAGACCTTGGATACCTCCCGGGACCCTACAACCACAACGCCCAGGGACCAGATGCCTCAGCTGCAAACCCACTAACACCGAGACTCCAGCCTCCCTGGCCGCAGGTGCCTACAAAGTGGGGGAGACAAAGCAGCACCAAATACAGGTGGACCCTGTGCCTTCTCACAGAGGAGATAGAAGGAACAGCTGACTTGAATAACATCCACCTGGAATTGGCAAATTAAACACAGCTGGTGAGGCAATCTGTGGACAGAAAATTCAAAGATTGCCAAGAGAGAGTCAACGCAGGAAAGAGAGAGCTACATACCAGACACCCAGAGAGGAGTGAACATGAGGAGACAAAGAAAGAGCCCCCATAGGAAAGAAAAGCAGGAATCACAGGAAACGGAAGTAAATGAAATAGAGGCAAGCAATATGTTAGAGAAAGAATTCAGAGCAATGGTCATAAAGACATTGAAAAGGATGGAAGACAAATTCAATAATATGTGTAAGAACCAAGAAGAAATGAAAAATGACATCACTGCAATAAAGAACACAATATAAAGCATCAACAGTACACTACAAGAATCAGAGGACCACATCATGAGCTAGAAGACAAGGTAGGAAAAAACACCCAAGCTGAGCAGAAACTGGAAAAAAATCTTAAAAAACAGGAGGAGAGCCTAAGGGAACTGTGGGACAACATGAAATGAAACAACATCTGCATAATATGGGTCCCAGAAGGAGAGGAAACTGAGCAAGGAATAGAAAACCTATTTGAAGAAATAATGACAGAAAACTTCCCTGATATTGGGAAGAAGAAAACACTCACATAAGTCCAAGAAGCTCACAGAGTCTCAAACAAAATGAACTGAAAAAGACCGATACCAAGACACATTATAGTTAAATTAGCAAACACCAATGACAAAGTAAGAATCTTAAAGGCTGCCAGAGAGAGACATAAAGTTACCTACAAAGGGTCTCCTATCAGACTACCGACTGAATTCTCAACAGAAACACAGCAGGCCAGAAGGGAATGGAATGAAATACACAAAGTCACTCAAAGGAAGGGTCTGAATCAAAGAATACCCTACCCAGCAAGGCTATCAATCAAATTTGAGGGTGAAATCAGGAGTTTCACAGATGAAAAAGGACTAATGGAATTTATTACAACCAAACCAGCAATGCAAGAAATGCTAAAGGGACTGCTGTAAAAATAAGAAATAGGAAGGGAAGAAGGAATACAGGCATAAAGAACAAAAATGGCAACAAATAAGTGCCTATCAATAATAACTTTAAATGTAAATGGTTTACCTGCCCCAATCAAAAGACATAGGGTAGCTGAGTGGATAAGAAAACATGACCTATATCTCTACTGTCTACAGGAGACCCACCTCAGAACAAACGACTCACACAGACTGATGGTGAAGGGATACCAAAAGGTTTTTCAGGTGAATGGAAAAGAAAAAAAAGCTGGTGTAGCAATACTTATATCTGACAAATTAGACATCAAAGTGAAGGCCATAACAAGAGAAAAGGAAGGCCACTTCATAATACTAAAGGGAGACATTCAAGAAGAAGATATAACTCTGGTAAACATATATGCACCCAATACAGGAACACCCAAATATATTAAAAACAAAAAAACAAACAAACAAAAAAAAAACTTCTGGAGGATATCAAGGGACAGATTGACAACAATACAGTCATAGTAGGGGACTTTAACACCCAACTAACACCACTGGATACAACCTCTAAACAAAAAATCATCAAAGAAACATCAATCCTAAATGACTCACGAGATCAGATGGAATTAATGGACATCTTCAGAACATTTCACCCCAAAGCCACAGAATATATATTCTTCTCAAGCACACAGGGGTCATTTTCAAAGATAGACCACATATTCAGACACAAGCAAAGTCTCTTCAAATTCAAGAAGATAGAAATCATATCAAGCATCTTCTCAGATCACAATGGCATAAAATCAGAAATCAACTACAATAAAAACAATGAAAAAATCAAACACCTGGAGGCTAAATAGCACGCTATTAAACAATGATTGGGTTACCAAAGAGACCAAAAAAAGAAATAAAAAGCTTCATGGCAACAAGTGACAATGAAAACACAACAATCCAAAATCTATGGGACACAGTGAAAGCACTCTTGAGAGGGAAGTTCATAGCTCTATAGGCCTACCTCTAAAAACAAGAAAAAATGGTAATAAATTATCTAATCCTACAACTCATAGAGTTAGAAAGAGAGCAACAAGAAAAGCCAAGAGTAAGCAGAAGCAATGAATGATAAAGATCAGAGTGGAAATAAATGACAAAGAAACCCAAAAAACAATACAAAAGATCAACAAACCAAGAGCTGGTTCTTTGAAAGGATAAACAAGATTGATGAACCTCTAGTCAGGATCACTAAGAAGCAAAGTGAGAGGACCCAAATAAAATCAGAAATGAAAGAGTTGAAGTAACAACTGATCCTACAGAAATACAAAGGATTATAAAAAAAAATACTATGAATAGCTCCATTCCAACAAAATGGACAATCTAGACAAAATGGACCTATTCTTAGAAAAAACAAGCTCCCAAAACTCAATCAGGAAGATAATAAAACCTGAATAGGCCTATAAGGACCAAAGAAATTGAAGCAGCGATCAAAAATCTTCCAGTAATCAAAAGCCCTGGTCCAACGGCTTTACAGGGGAGTTCTACCAAGCATTCAGAACTAAAACCTATCCTCCTCAGACTACTACAAAAAATTTAAGAGGAAGGCACATTTCCAAGCTCTTTCTATAAAGCCAGCATTACCCTAATTCCAAAACCAGATAAAGACACCACGAAAAAAGAGAATTACAGGCCAATATCCTTGATGAACATAGATGCTAAAATCCTCAACAAAATTCCGGCAAATTGGATCCAGCAGTACATTAGAAACATCATACACCATGACCAAGTGGGATTTATTCTGGGGATGCAAGGATGGTACAATATCTGCAAATCAATAACTGTGACACATCACATGAACAAATTGAGAGACAAAAATCACATAATCATATCAATCAATGCAGAAAAAGCATTTGACAAAATCCAACACCATTTCTTGATGAAAA